ACGCGCGGCGCCCACCACGCAGGGAGGCGGCGGGTGCGCACGGCCTTTATTGGGGTGGCAGGGCCGCTGCCTGGGGGCTCCGCCCCCTTCTGTGATGTCATCGCCCGGCGCTGTGACCTCACGGAGTCTGGCTGTGATGGCACCTCGAAGGAAGGGCACAGAGCCCCCGCGCTCCACACAGACGGCAACGCCTAACCACATCTCAGGCCGCTCGATTTGCTCACACGTTACTCTAGGGTCACAGTGTAATTGTAGGGTCACGGGAGTACACAGGCTGCATGTTACTGTAGGGTCACAGTGTAATTGTAGGGTCACGGGAGTACACAGGCGACATGTTACTGTAGGGTCACGGGAGTACACAGGCAACATGTTACTGTAGGGTCACACTGTTATTGTAGGGTCACGGGAGTACACAGGCTACATGTTACTGTAGGGTCATGGGAGTACACAGGCGACGTTACTCTAGGGTCACAGTGTAATTGTAGGGTCACGGGAGTACACAGGCTGTATGTTACTGTAGGGTCATGGGAGTACACAGGCAACATTACTCTAGGGTCACAGTGTAATTGTAGGGTCACGGGAGTACGCAGGCGACATGTTACTGTAGGGTCACAGTGTTATTGTAGGCTCATGGCTACAAGTACACAGGCTGCATGTTATTGTAGGGTCACACTGTTATTGTAGGGTTGTGGGGACTACATGGGCTGCGTGTTATCATAGGGTCACTGGTGTTATTGTAGGGTCATAGGACAGGCATGGGCTGTGTTATTGTAGGGTACAATGCTGTCTTAGGGTCTCAGCAACTACACAGACTACTGCTATTTTGGGGTCCCAGTGTTATTGTAGGGTCTCCAAGAGGTCCCAGTTTTACAATAGGGTCCCAGGGACTGGAGAAGTTGTGTGTTATTGCAGGGCCCCCAGGATGCCCAGGCTGTGTATTATTGTAGGGTCTCCTTCACTCAGAGTTGTGACAGAAGCACTGCGCTGGTGCGGTGGGCTTAGCTGGGCTCCCGAGCTGTTCGCACAGGCTGTTATTGTAGGGTCACTTGAGGATGCTGCTGTGCCATTGTAGGATCATGACATTATTGTTGGCTTGTTGGCCACCACTGTTGTGACCCTGCCATAAGACAGTGGTGTGCACTGGGGTGTTATTGTAGGCTCTCCCTGGACTGAGAGGAAATGCACTGGTGGGTCTCCACTGGGTGCTGTTTAGGACAGTGAAGACATGGAGACTTGGGCCAGGCATGCTAGCATGTCATTGTAGGGTCTCCCAGGGCCCTGGGTTGTTATTGTCAGCCTTCCCTGAGGTTTTATGTTATGGGAGAGGCTCCCCTATGCTAGTTTATTTTCATAGGGTCTCCCCAGGGATAGTTTCTTATCATACAGTCTCCCCACAGTAGTTTGTTACTGCAGGGTCTCCCTGTAGTGGTTTGTTATTGCAGGGTCCCCTGGTGCTGGTTTGTTATTGCAGGGTCTCCCCATGCAGGTTTGTTATTGCAGGGTCCCCTGGTGCTGGTTTGTTATTGCAGGGTCTCCCCATGCAGGTTTGTTATTGCAGGGTCTCCCCATGTAGGTTTGTTATTGCAGGGTCTCCCCATGCAGGTTTGTTATTGCAGGGTCCCCTGGTGGCTGGTTTGTTATTGCAGGGTCCCCTGGTGCTGGTTTGTTATTGCAGGGTCTCCCCATGCAGGTTTGTTATTGCAGGGTCTCCCCATGTAGGTTTGTTATTGCAGGGTCTCCCCATGCAGGTTTGTTATTGCAGGGTCTCCCCATGCAGGTTTGTTATTGCAGGGTCTCCCCATGCAGGTTTGTTATTGCAGGGTCTCCCCATGCAGGTTTGTTATTGCAGGGTCTCCCCATGCAGGTTTGTTATTGCAGGGTCTCCCCATGCAGGTTTGTTATTGCAGGGTCTCCCCATGCAGGTTTGTTATTGCAGGGTCTCCCCATGCAGGTTTGTTATTGCAGGGTCTCCCCATGCAGGTTTGTTATTGCAGGGTCTCCCCATGCAGGTTTGTTATTGCAGGGTCTCCCCATGCAGGTTTGTTATTGCAGGGTCTCCCCATGCAGGTTTGTTATTGCAGGGTCTCCCCATGCAGGTTTGTTATTGCAGGGTCTCCCCATGCAGGTTTGTTATTGCAGGGTCTCCCCATGCAGGTTTGTTATTGCAGGGTCTCCCCATGCAGGTTTGTTATTGCAGGGTCTCCCCATGCAGGTTTGTTATTGCAGGGTCTCCCCATGCAGGTTTGTTATTGCAGGGTCTCCCCATGCAGGTTTGTTATTGCAGGGTCTCCCCATGCAGGTTTGTTATTGCAGGGTCTCCCCATGCAGGTTTGTTATTGCAGGGTCTCCCCATGCAGGTTTGTTATTGCAGGGTCTCCCCATGCAGGTTTGTTATTGCAGGGTCTCCCCATGCAGGTTTGTTATTGCAGGGTCTCCCCATGCAGGTTTGTTATTGCAGGGTCTCCCCATGCAGGTTTGTTATTGCAGGGTCTCCCCATGCAGGTTTGTTATTGCAGGGTCTCCCCATGCAGGTTTGTTATTGCAGGGTCTCCCCATGCAGGTTTGTTATTGCAGGGTCTCCCCATGCAGGTTTGTTATTGCAGGGTCTCCCCATGCAGGTTTGTTATTGCAGGGTCTCCCCATGCAGGTTTGTTATTGCAGGGTCTCCCCATGCAGGTTTGTTATTGCAGGGTCTCCCCATGCAGGTTTGTTATTGCAGGGTCTCCCCATGCAGGTTTGTTATTGCAGGGTCTCCCCATGCAGGTTTGTTATTGCAGGGTCTCCCCATGCAGGTTTGTTATTGCAGGGTCTCCCCATGCAGGTTTGTTATTGCAGGGTCTCCCCATGCAGGTTTGTTATTGCAGGGTCTCCCCATGCAGGTTTGTTATTGCAGGGTCTCCCCATGCAGGTTTGTTATTGCAGGGTCTCCCCATGCAGGTTTGTTATTGCAGGGTCTCCCCATGCAGGTTTGTTATTGCAGGGTCTCCCCATGCAGGTTTGTTATTGCAGGGTCTCCCCATGCAGGTTTGTTATTGCAGGGTCTCCCCATGCAGGTTTGTTATTGCAGGGTCTCCCCATGCAGGTTTGTTATTGCAGGGTCTCCCCATGCAGGTTTGTTATTGCAGGGTCTCCCCATGCAGGTTTGTTATTGCAGGGTCTCCCCATGCAGGTTTGTTATTGCAGGGTCTCCCCATGCAGGTTTGTTATTGCAGGGTCTCCCCATGCAGGTTTGTTATTGCAGGGTCTCCCCATGCAGGTTTGTTATTGCAGGGTCTCCCCATGCAGGTTTGTTATTGCAGGGTCTCCCCATGCAGGTTTGTTATTGCAGGGTCTCCCCATGCAGGTTTGTTATTGCAGGGTCTCCCCATGCAGGTTTGTTATTGCAGGGTCTCCCCATGCAGGTTTGTTATTGCAGGGTCTCCCCATGCAGGTTTGTTATTGCAGGGTCTCCCCATGCAGGTTTGTTATTGCAGGGTCTCCCCATGCAGGTTTGTTATTGCAGGGTCTCCCCATGCAGGTTTGTTATTGCAGGGTCTCCCCATGCAGGTTTGTTATTGCAGGGTCTCCCCATGCAGGTTTGTTATTGCAGGGTCTCCCCATGCAGGTTTGTTATTGCAGGGTCTCCCCATGCAGGTTTGTTATTGCAGGGTCTCCCCATGCAGGTTTGTTATTGCAGGGTCTCCCCATGCAGGTTTGTTATTGCAGGGTCTCCCCATGCAGGTTTGTTATTGCAGGGTCTCCCCATGCAGGTTTGTTATTGCAGGGTCTCCCCATGCAGGTTTGTTATTGCAGGGTCTCCCCATGCAGGTTTGTTATTGCAGGGTCTCCCCATGCAGGTTTGTTATTGCAGGGTCTCCCCATGCAGGTTTGTTATTGCAGGGTCTCCCCATGCAGGTTTGTTATTGCAGGGTCTCCCCATGCAGGTTTGTTATTGCAGGGTCTCCCCATGCAGGTTTGTTATTGCAGGGTCTCCCCATGCAGGTTTGTTATTGCAGGGTCTCCCCATGCAGGTTTGTTATTGCAGGGTCTCCCCATGCAGGTTTGTTATTGCAGGGTCTCCCCATGCAGGTTTGTTATTGCAGGGTCTCCCCATGCAGGTTTGTTATTGCAGGGTCTCCCCATGCAGGTTTGTTATTGCAGGGTCTCCCCATGCAGGTTTGTTATTGCAGGGTCTCCCCATGCAGGTTTGTTATTGCAGGGTCTCCCCATGCAGGTTTGTTATTGCAGGGTCTCCCCATGCAGGTTTGTTATTGCAGGGTCTCCCCATGCAGGTTTGTTATTGCAGGGTCTCCCCATGCAGGTTTGTTATTGCAGGGTCTCCCCATGCAGGTTTGTTATTGCAGGGTCTCCCCATGCAGGTTTGTTATTGCAGGGTCTCCCCATGCAGGTTTGTTATTGCAGGGTCTCCCCATGCAGGTTTGTTATTGCAGGGTCTCCCCATGCAGGTTTGTTATTGCAGGGTCTCCCCATGCAGGTTTGTTATTGCAGGGTCTCCCCATGCAGGTTTGTTATTGCAGGGTCTCCCCATGCAGGTTTGTTATTGCAGGGTCTCCCCATGCAGGTTTGTTATTGCAGGGTCTCCCCATGCAGGTTTGTTATTGCAGGGTCTCCCCATGCAGGTTTGTTATTGCAGGGTCTCCCCATGCAGGTTTGTTATTGC